TTTATTTCATGCCCTTCACATCCATCTTATACATGCGTAAAAACACAACTCATCTTGCACGTGGTCTCATTCCAAGATACGTCATTTCTTTATTCTTCAGAGCAATCGATGGCGAACTTGCACACGAGTTTCCCATATCTGCTATAACTTCGGCTTCTTTAATTTCACCTGTCAGCTGATTCCAAGACGGGCCAATACTGATAGCTGTACAAATCAGGGGAGCACCCACAGCCTTTGCAGTGCGCTGGTAGGAACCCTCCCGCTGAAAGTTTATTTCTTGTGTTGTAGTCCTCTCCCCGTCGTTATTCAAAAGAACTGCTCAAACAGCCTCGCCTCAAGGGATGTTTGTAGTCGTAGGGGTGTACATGCAATGCTTTGATTGACTATAATGGCAATAACACCGGTGATGCAACAGCATCATCTTGATCCTTTTTTGAAATAACAGAATGACATAGGAAATTAGTGCTCTTGAATTTTAAGTATGTGTTTTGAACACACAGCACATTTGGAGAATGTTTATGTAAAAGTCATGCGTAAGAGTCAAAAGCCTGTACATCATCCAGATGAGTCCTCGGGTGTTCCACAATAAAATGTGTTTCTCCATTTTGATGTAGTTTGGTGCTGTGTGTACAAAAGGGTTGCCTGAGGTTACAGGGCCTTTTGGGGGCCCTGTAATGCGAGGTTTCTCTTTTTTTGGTGCGCTCCAAAGGGCTGCGCCTGTCCTTTGGCGTATCAGGAACTGAAAGAGTGCGACTTGTGTCCATCACCTCTTCTCAGATGGTGGATGATGCCTGCTCGGCCGCCACTTTGACAAAGGTTTCGGACCTAACTTGTTGTTGTCTCGTCTAGTCACTATTTTTTTTACTTTGACAATGTTCTCGTCCTGCCATTCTTCAAGGAGTTCACTCTCACTTGAGTTCAAGGAGGTCATTGCAAGAGATGATACAATGCACAATATTCATGGTTCTATGGGGCCCACTGACACCAGGGTGTTGCCAAAAGCTACAGGTTTTTACAGTCTCTAGTGCTGCTTGTCACGAACCTCCAGAAGAACATTGCCGCTTCTCGTCTTTATTACTTTGAAGTCTGGGCCTTCGTGAGGGATTTTGACAAGACGAATGGTGAAATTGGTAAGACACTTTTGCTTTGGTGTTGACTACGTATAACGTAGTATTTATGAAATGATTCTCTAGCTGAGACAAAGGTGAAATTTTGATCGGTGCACCATCTTTTCAGGCGGCAATCAGGAAGTGGAGGAAAGAGGTTTGCTATAACAAGTATTAGAGTTCGGCAGCAACGGTGGCCGCCTACCAACGAAACCAACAAGGGGATGCAACAAAGTAAAATTCCTTAGTTACCAGCCATAAATTGCCGCTATAATCAAATATACCTATCCAAGGTTGGGCAACTACATTACCCTTGCAGCCAGGAAAGTTAGAAATAAGTGAAATGAACTGAGGACAGGAAAAATTGAAAGTAGTAGAGAAAGATGAAAATGTGGGGAGATAAGAGATAAGAAAAGGCGACTGCAGATTTTTGCTGGGTAGGTCAGCCCAGGGGTGCCGCACGTGAAGCCGGAGCCAAATGGGTGTAAATAGCCACTGCCGGCAGCCTTACAGGTCCAATTAACCGGCGTTGGCTCAACCCCCAGGATTTTCTTTTCATTGGACATGACTCGGCCATACATAAGAGGGTATCACCCCCCCCCCCCCCCCCCGTTAGCTACTACATAGCACTCATCTACTGCGATGACCACACTAGAAATTACAGGGGTAGCCAAATTTTGGTCACGTTTTTCTCAGAAAGAACACAAAAATGGTGTCTTGGTGCATGCTTAGTGGAAATAATAAAATTTTTGTCAAGATGTAGCAGCACGTAGCAGGCTCCAGCTCTTACACAGCTGTTACATCACTGCTCTTTGCCAATATCAATGTTCTCTTTTCTGCTCATTCCTTACCATTCTGTGCAAACTACCTCTCTTGGTTTATCTCTCTCTAAAGCAGTACTATACAGTTTTTATCTGTGTCAATTACTTTCAATATATCCCACAATATTTCCTGATAGGCATTGTCGTACACCCCAGTTATGTCTAGAAAAGGCCTGTACAAGGGCCTGTTTTATATTTTGTAGTTGTAGCAAATCATCTTACTGCCTATTGACTCGAAATTCCTTCCGATGTTCTCCCAAAATATGTCCTGTCCACACAGGCGCACATTACACTTCTCTTGCTGGGACATGGGATGTATGGAGAGAAATGTCGGAGGCCATGGGCAGACAACGTTGCTCTCAAAGTGGAGTCTTGCATGCCAGTCCTCATGCAACTTGATGTTTCTCACCTACGAGATTACTTGCATAAAAATATAAAGATACTTACATGCATTGGTAATGATTGTTTATTCGAAAGTTGTTCACATTAAACAAAACGTATCTACATGTTGACACTGCACAAAATAAGAGACTGCATAGCACTACTCCCCCGGTAGAGAGGAGCCTTTCAAGAAACTCTCCTAACATAACATTAGTCATGTCCTATCATTGATAAATTTATTCCAAATCTATTGGAGGTAATAAATCAAAAACTGATGGTAATGTGCTTAGCTCCATCCTGCCTTTGAGGCAGCCACAGTTTCACATTCAACTCAAGCTTAGCACACTGCTTCTAGGTGGGCATGCATAGCAAACAATAGACACAGGTGTTCTTCAAAGTGATGCAGTGAAATGCAGCACTCTCAGACTAGCAGAGCAGATGCAAACTGTCCTAGTAATCTTGTATATCATGGTACAAGATTGTCTGACAACTAAATTTGTATATAAGGTGAGGTACAATAAAACCGATTAGACACCCCCAAAGTCACATTAACCTTTCTGATATGCCGAGTTTGATGCCATAAAACAAAGGTTTTTTTCATGCATGGGAGATAGCGCGAAGCTTGCACCACTTCTTCAGAAATTTAAGAGCGATGCTTCTGTTGTCAACAATTACCAAGTATCTGCTAAATATGAGCTATTCATTGTAAAAATTTGTCTACTTCGAATTGCCCTCAACTGTTTTGTTCTCTATATATGTTGTACATGTGTAATCTCGATGACCGAATCGACTGCGCCTGCGTCCCTTGCCGTGGTCGACGTCATGGATGGGCTATAAAGCCAGTCCATCGAAAGAAAGCCGGCATTTTGTTCGGAGCAGTCCAGGCAGCCGCTGGGTCGCGCAACAACTAATCGTCTCTTCTGTATCTGCAGGTGCGTACAAGCTACGTTTGTTTCACGCCTAAAACCTAAGAATTAGTGTTGCCTGGACTGCTCCGCGAGAGTTTTTTTTTTTTTCTCTCTCTTTTTTTTTTTTTTTTTTTGCTGCCAGAGATATGAGTAGCAAAACTCCCACAACCATCAAGGAACTTAACGTAGCACTAGCGGACTTGAGTGCTCGACTTGATGCTAAAAATGACCAACTGAAGGAAGATTTAAAGGCAATAATTGAAGTAGAGATACAACCGATAAGACAGTCAATTGAGCATAAGCATGCTGCACTAAAGAAAGAGCTGCCTAAGCTAATTGAAAAAGAGCTCAAACCCCTCAAAGAAGCAATGGAATTCATTAATAAGCAATTTGAGGAATTTAAATCGGAAATCGGTGACTTGAAAAATGAAATTGCAATCGTCAGAACGGAAAACAGGGCAATCAAGAATGACTTCAGCAGGCTCACGACTGAGCTAAAGGAAACAAGAAAAGAGCTAACAGAGCTACAACAGTACAGCCGACGTAACAATGTGGAAATTAAAGGTGTCCCCGTGCAAGAAAAAGAGAACCTTGTAGCAGTGATCAAGAGCATATCAACCTATTTGAAAGTGGATATAAATGAATCTGATCTCGAGGTTGTACATCGTGTTCCAACCAGGGAAAAGTCACAATCGAACATCATTGCTAAGTTCATCTCCCGCATCCCCAGAGATAAGTTCATGAATGCCACGAAGAAGCAAAGATTGACCACTACAATCATAGGCTTTGAAGGTTCCACCCCCGCTCTATATTAATGACCACCTATGTCCAGCTAACAAGGTACTGCTGGGCAAGGCATTAAAGGCGAAGCGCGAAAATAACTGGAAATTCACTTGGGTATCCGGCGGAAAAATTCTCATGAGAAAGACAGAAAATTCGCGAGTATTGCACATAACTTGCGCAGAAGATCTATCGCAAATTTCCTGAGCAATGATGTTTGATTTTTCAAGTATCGACCAAGCTTGGCATGAGTACGAAAACTTGTCTGTTGTTCATTGCAATATTCGAAGTGCGCGAAGAAACTTAGACCAATTCTGCGCTCATTTGTCGCGTCATTCATTTGTATACGACGTTATCGCTCTTACTGAAACCTGGTTGAAAGATGGAGAATCTGCGCATGTTCCAGGATACACATTATTATCGCTACCTAGGAAGAGCAGTTCGCGAGGTGGGGGCGTTGCTCTGTTCCTTAAAAAAAGCATCGATTACCAGTGCATGCCTAACCACTCTACTAGCCAACCTGAATGTGAAGCCTTGTTTGTGCATTTGAAATGTGGCGTTATACTCGGAGCTGTTTATCGTCCACCTAGCTCGTCTGTAGCAGCATTCATTTCTACTATGGAAACTGTCTTAGACTCATTGATAGCCTACAACCGCCCACTGGTTATATGTGGTGATTTTAACGTCGATCTACTTAAAGATGAATACCCTGACTATGTATTGATGCTCCAGTCATATAATCTAATGAACGTTATTAATGCCCCTACACGAATAAGTGATAACTGTTCCTCATTTATTGATCATATTATTTGTGGAACTGATATGAGTGTTTTCGCCGGAGTGTATGACGTTACTATTGCTGATCACTGCCCCACTTTTCTGTTTGTGCCTAATGCTAATTTAGGACCTCCATGCCATAACTCAAAACGAGTTAAGCAGACAAACTACGCTGTAGTGCGCAAATTACTTGAGCGTACGAATTTTGAAGCCTTGTACCACAGTAATGTTCACACTGAATGGGAAAACTTTATTTGCCATATAATGGAGGCAATTAGCCAATCAACCCAAGAATACACAGACCGAAGACACAAGGAAGCAATATGTCCTTGGGTGACGCGGGACATACTGAATGTTATAAAGAAAAAAGATACATACTTCACTAGATGGAAACAAAACAAAACAAATGAATACTATGAAAAGCAGTTTAAACACTTCAGAAACAAATCAGTCGGGATGTTAAGGAAAGCCAAGAAGCAGTATTACAGTGCTAAAATAGTTCAACAGAGCGGTGACATCAAGCAGGTATGGAAGCTAGTGCGTGAAGTTACGGGAATAGGCGAAAAAAAACGCATTGCTCCGGATAATCCTACAACTAATACCGCTGATAACTTCAATAATTTTTTTACCAATGTTGGTAACAACTTTCCTGCTCAATCTCAAGCAGATCCTCTACATTCTTGCCAAAACAAAATATTTGAGGAAGACTTTCAGCTTGCAAGCGTAACCACTGAGGAAATTAGGTCAGAAATCCTAAAACTCCCATGCAATAAAGCCGTTGGTCATGATGGGATTACTACAAAACTACTGAAGGTAAATGTAGACCTTCTTTCGGAGCCTCTTTCCCGCATCATGAATAACTGCCTGCAAAATGGAACTTACCCAAATATCCTAAAGATAGCGAGAGTCGTACCTATTTACAAATCCGGGGATCGAGAAAATCCGAGCAGTTACCGTCCCATCTCGGTGCTCAGCATTGTTAAAACGCTTTTTGAAAAGGTAATTAGGTCCCGTCTCTGTCGATCTAAGCTCAAACGACATAATCTGCCCTGAACAACATGGTTTCATCACAAATAGGTCAACGAGCACAGCTGTTTTTACACTAGCACAGTTCGTCAACTCAGTACTTCATGATAACGAAATTGCCGTCAGCGTTTTCTTGGATATAAAAAAAGCATTCGATACTGTTTCGCATTCCATTTTATTAAAGAAATTAGAATCTTATTATGGCTTCACCGAGAGGACACTTCGGTTATTTTCTAGTTATCTGGCAGATAGAAAACAATGCGTCGTGTTTGACCGTATATCTTCAGGATTTAGAAAAATAACATGTGGAATACCCCAGGGAACCGTGCTAGGTCCTATGTTGTTTTCACTATACATAAATGACCTACCATCTGCTCTTTCACGCAAAACCATAATGTACGCTGATGACACTGCATTGCTTTTTCGAGGTAACTCTCTGTGCACGCTAAAAGAAGAAATCACGGCAGAGTTGGCACAGATTTCGGCATGGTTCGCCCGCAACAAGCTCGCATTAAATGTAGCCAAAACTAAATATATCATATTTCATTCCAGAAGAAAAAACCTCGATTATAGTCAGCTGGACTTAGAAATTAACGACGCGCCCATTGAGCGCGTTTCCGCGTTTAAATACTTAGGGGTTCTAATAGATGAAAACCTGAATTGGAAAGATGAGGTTAATTACATATCCAAAAAGCTTGCTTTCGCATGCTTCACGCTCATTAAAGCCAAATGTTACTTTCCATATAACGTGCTACGATCATTATACTTCTCTATATTTCACTCTCAACTCAGTTATTGTAGCGAAATATGGGGCTTTACTTATCTAACGTATATAGCACCGATCATACGATTGCAAAAACGCGCCTTAAGAATTATTACGGCATCGTCCTCTTGTTGCCCAAGCTCAGATTTGTTTTCATCTACTCAGATACTGCCTTTCACGTCTCAGCGAAATTATAAAACTGCGGTGTTGATAAATTCTATCATTAACACCAATTTTCCACTACCTGTGAGTGCGTTTTCTACACCGACCCGTAACACAAGGCATGCAGGCAACGGCAACTTCAACCTCCCTACTTGTAGGAATGTATATGGCGAACGGTTAATACAACTCACTGGTGCTAAAATCTGGAACACAATTCCACTTGAAATTAAACTTGCCCGCAACTTTAAATTCACTTGTAAAATGCATTTTGTAAGTTTTTCATGTTCTTAACCAAAGTTAAGCTCACGTCCACACTTTTTTACGACTCATCTGGCATAGTTCTTTTTCTTTCCTTCTTTTTGTTTCTAGTTCTGAAGTGAGTTCGATGGTATTGATTCTTCAACGCAGTTAATTTTGTGCACAAATTGTGCTAAATATTTTGTGGTATCACTATCTTCTGTATTGTTACAATGTATGCCTTTAGTTCTTTATCACTTGGGTACTAAAAGTATTTGCAGCAATTTAGCATTTATTGTCATGTGTATTTAATTCGATAAAATATACCTTAAAAGCTACCCTGTCATTGAATTTGTGTATAGATTCATAATCATATTAACTGCACCTCTGCTCCTGACATGTAATAAAATAATCATGTAATAGATTGGACCACTGACTAGCCACACAGGTTAATGGTCCAAATACTTTTGTAACCATGTTTTTGTATTACGTTGATTGAATAAACACTGATTGATTGATTGATCTTCACTGACAGAAATAAAAATTAGCGTGTCCTACGCATAATAAAGATTGAAGTGTATTGCACACTATTTGATCCAAGCATAATGCTTCAAGAACATTCCAACAAAATGTAAAGTATAAAGCAGCTGTTTGATTAGGACTGAATTTTTCAAACCTATGGCATATCACAAAGCACAGTATATGTAGAAAAGGAAGGGTCAATTAAAAACTAGGGCTGCTAAGCATTGCTTACACCTTTAAGCATAGCACAATAACAAAGCCACTATGAACACTTTAATGCATCTGTTATTGCAACAGTTCAACAAGAGTAGGTGCACATACTTCACACTTCCCAGTGCATTGCCATTTTATGAGCAAAGTGAGTCAGAACTACTCACCTAAAGAAGCCATGATCCTATGGCCTTTTCATAAATACACGCAAGTTCCATATGCAGTTAAACCTGGATATAACAAAATTTATGAATTCCCCAAAAAATTCGTTATGAAGGGGTTTCGTTATACGAAAGTTCAGTACGAAAATTCAGAAAATAAATGCACAAATTAAACAAAAGGAAAACTGAAGGCAGAGTTGACCCGAAACACTTATTTAGCAGTAAAAACTGAGTTACTATTGCAATAGCAACTACACTCTCAACAGGTTTTTGCAGTTCCCGCTATGTTCTGTAACAAGTATAAATTGATAACATGCCCCAAGCATCGTAACTTTTACGAGCGGATAAAAGCATGCGAGTGCTGGTGAAGCAGAAATCAAATGAGTCAGCCCATCTCTATCGCCTGAAAGGCGCATAAGATAACATCCCCCATGTGCTAGAACTGACGTCGAATGCTCAAACAGAGGAAACCACCTGTCTTGAACGAGCAGGAAGAAAAAAATGGGTGGGGGGGGGGAAGAATCACTCGAGTAGCAACAATGAACTTTGATTATAAGGGCGATTGCGATCACTGGTGCACTTGCTATCTCGGCAAGCATGAGTGTGATTTCAACGTGACGAAACTGTGTGAAAAGAGCACTTCTCCCTGGAGCGACCGTGTTTGCTGACATCAGCGTTTTGTAGGAGTTCCACAATATAGAATCCAAAACAGTTGGCCGACAGCTTTACTTTGTATAACATTACAACTTTTTGCTATCGCGTTCATCGCATTGGATTCACTGCACTGTCATGTTGTTGCCAGCACTAATTGGCTAATCGCGAAAGCTACGAGCCTGCAAACTCGCGGCGCAGCGCAAGACGAAAGTGCATGATGAGTCGACCTCTGAAGATCTGTCGTCACCTTGGTCTCAGAGAGTTTCCATTAGCGCCTGTTCTGACGTCCCCTCGGTGGTGGTGACACGGTTGTGCACATTAAAAAAAATAAAAAAAAGTAAAGCTGAATGTCCTCGGGGGTGACACCTTGCACATACAGTGAAACCATGCACGTGCACGCAGCATCGAAAATGATGAGCGAACGACACGAATACCGCGGAAAACTATTCAGTAAAACGCCCTCTATGTGCAGCCTGGCCCCAAATATGTGATACTAACTAAAAGCGTTAGACTGCGAGTGCAAAAAGTAGCTTTCTTTATTTATTTTTGGTTTGGACCGCATGCACTCACGGCAGCTAAAACAGCGGCAACGCAGGATAGTGGGGCGCAGGCCCACCTATCTGCCTTGCGCTCACCCGTGATTGCACTCGCTCTCGCCTGCTGTGTCGTGCGTGCTGTCGCCACTTTGCGCTTTAGTGGCGAAGGGGCATCCAAGGAAGATGCATGCTCATAGCAAAATCCGGGGCAAAACTCGTAGATCGTCCGTGGGGAAAATTCGTTATATCAAGGTTGTCTCTCTCTGTTACTTGGTTACATACAGGTCCCTAATACGTGTGCTTCTATGCAGCAATGATGAGCAATGGAAAAACTTAGTTATATCGGGGAATTCATTTTAAGGAGGTTCGTTATAAGCAGGTTTAACTGTAGCTTTATTATAGTTTCAGCTGAAATATGAACAGTGCTGCAAAGCCCTGAGAAATTGGGCATACAAACAGAGCCACAAATTAAACGCAGGCCGATACATAGCAGCTTTCCCCAAAACAAATAAACAATTCAAATCAGTACTTGCTAACCAACGATACTACTATACGAAGTATTCAACATTTACACAACTTCACTCAAAAAGTCAAGTAAAATTTGGTCATGACAGAGCAAGATATGCAAAATGATTCTCAATGAGCAAGTGCAAAAAGCAAGTCCTCAGCTCTGTCCTAAACTTAACCCACAATTTAAAGAGGCCGGGCACGAATTCTTTTGCAGCCTGAAGTTTGACAATTTTAGACATCACAAGAAAAGTGAAAATTACATCTCCTATTATTAGAAAACTATTATGATCATTCCTATCAGTCATCTACTGGTTAACTCGGAGGGGGAAGGTAACGGGTGCTGTAGCAGGCATCAATGTAGGCATGTGCCAGCTCTTCGATCACGGAGCGATCAGGAATGCTTTGAGCCATGCCGTAGATAGCAGCCTGCAATAAAAGCAAAGAGAAATGCTTTGGTCATGTTCGAGAAATTCCATTCAAGTATTTCTAGAATGCATTTAGATGATACCCACGCATTTCGGATGCCCATGCATCTACTACAACTGCTGCGGGACAAGCCATTCACTCAAGGTGACAATGTAGAGTTTTAAAAAGGCATTGCTACTTACAGCTCCAGGCTGCTGTAAACAATGTGCAAAAGAAAAACACAGAACACTCACTTTATTACAAGAATATAACCATACTTGACCTGCTAAGTAATCCTAAAGTGAACATGGGGGTCTCACAAGTTGTTACCAACAAATAAAATGATACCTGAAAAAAACTTTTAGGCTATCATAACAGCATACTGTTCCACTAGCCAGCTGACAAAATAAATGAGTCATTTAATTGGAAGTACGGATTTTCTTGACACCTCAGAGATTGATCATCTCTGATATGCTTAGGTTATTTTATGACAATGGTGTAGCTAGGGAAAGGTTCAAATGACCTCCCCCCCCCCCCCCCTAATTCTCAATGTTGTATGTGAGTATATACACATACAAAAGCACACACAAACAAACATGAAGCATGGTTGTGCCCCCTTCACCTCCCCTTACAGCCAAAGGAAATGTCTGGCTACACTACTGTTTTCTCAAATATTTTTCTTCAGAAACATGGTTCATACTCGTAAGCCAAACCATGGCTTCACAATTATGTAATAAGGCAATAAAACATACATTATAAAAGGTGCTTCTGAAACATTGGTTTGACTAAGGTACTTGGCTGCTGACCTGCAGGTAGCGGCATCGAATCCTGGCTGCTAGATAGATATGTGGGGTTTAACGTCCTAAAACCATCATATGATTATGAGAGACGCCGTAGTAGAGCGCTCCAGAAATTTCGACCACCTGGGGTTCTTTAACACGCGCCCAAATCTGAGCACACGGGCCTACAACATTTCCGCCTCTATCGGAAATGCAGCCGCCACAGCTGGGATTCGATCCCGCGACTGCGGGTCAGCAGCCGAGTACCTTAGCCACTAGACCACCGCGGCGAGGCAATCATGGCTGCGGCGGCTGTATTTTCGATAGAGGCGAAAATGCTGTAGGCCCATGTGCTCAGATTTGGGTTGTGGGGGTGCTGACACCCCCCTCCTGTAAAGTTGTCTGTGCCGCGTGGCGCATGTGTCTCGCCCCAAGGCTTTATTTCGGTGGTGACCACCGCCGGGCGATAGATGGCGTCATGTTCGCTTTGAGTACCACTGTTGGTAGAGTGGTAGCGCCGGCGGTGGCCCCTGGCAGAAGGCAGGCCTTGGTGGTGGGCGAGAGTTGAGCGAGCCTCTTGTGCGCGTGGCGGCTGCCGCGAACGGTTGTCTGTAGCGTGTGTCCCCGGTGCTCGGCACCGCGGGCTTCGCGCCGGGGTCCCACGTGGAAAGTCAGGCGTTGGCGACGCCGCCTTGGGTATGTGTTAGTGTGTTGGGTGTGTTAGTGTGTGTTTAGTGTGTCACTGCGATATGTTGTTTGTATGGTAGCGTGTTAATTAAAATTGATGTATCATTCGGCGGACGATATCGTCGTCTAAATTAGTTAATAAATGTATGTATGTTGTGTGCTTTGTATCGACCGCGTCGTCTACTGTGTCCGTTCACTCCAAGAGCGTGGCGTGGCGCGGCGCTCGTTCGCCTCGCCGAGACCCCACACTGGCGCCCAACGTGGGGCTCTTGGAGTATCGGACGACAGTTTTTGCGGTTCAATACAGGGATTTTGTTAGAGCCGGAGTAGAGTAGGCCTGGGGGGACTTTGCTATAGTCGGTGTTGTGCTTTGTTGAGAAGCGAGGAGATTTGTTTTGTAACGTGTTTGAATTTGTCGGCAGGTTGACTTTCTATTTATTTTTTTTGTCTCACAAGTGTTGTTATTTTTTGTTCTTGTTAGTTTTCAAAAACGTTGTTGAATTAGGACGAGAGCCATGCGGTCCGCATCGTGGGGTGAGCAAGGCCTAGAGCACGTGGTTTGTAGGCCAGGCCCAAAGCGAGTGAGTACGGAAGCCTCGTGGGTGGTCCGATTTTCTGTAAATAGCTTCTTCTATATCTTTGGGCTCAGGGAGCCCAGCGTCGTTGCTGTCTGGTATTGCGGCTCGACGCCGAGGCGTCGTGACACCGCCCGGGGCGGTGGACGCCGATCGTTCGGTAAGCTGCTGTGTGCGGCGAGCGATAGGGTCACCTCACAGAGTGAATGTCTCCTCGCGGCTGCCTCTTCTGCGCCTAGGCTGGGTGCTGGGTGGATGCCGGTTGTTGCCGAGAGACTCATTAGGCCTAAGGCTCTGCGCAGCCACCTGTCGCACGTGGCACAACTAGGTGGATCGTGGCGTTGAGGTGTTGCGCTCTGCTTCCCTCACTTTTTTTTCTTGTGAGCACGAGTTAGGAAAAGTGATTTTTGTTTTATTTTGACGGGCGTCTCGGCCGCCACCAATGTATTAGCTAGCAGTACTGACCAACGTACCACGAGGACGAAAAGCTCGAAGCTCCCTTCCCTTGGACCTGCTCAATTGTTTTCTTTCAAGTTTTTTTGTTGTTGTTATTGATGTATTCAGTGGGAGGGATGTCATCCACGGCCGGCTGTCTTGCACATCGTCAGCGTCGCTGGCCAGGATTGCGGTCGTGAGGTCGGGCGATGGAGATGCCTGGGACCTGCGCAACTGCCTGCAGTTCGGCGCCCTCGCGAGTGCTGGTCGCAACTCGAAGACGTGTCGGCGCTAGCGACGGATCGTCGCGCCGACGATAACGTTGCTATTGCGGGGCCGGTATTGAGGTGAAGTCTAGCCGGACAGTGTAGCAGTGTCGACCAGTAGCGGTGTCCTGGTGCAAGGACATTATGGTCGTGCGATATCATTTTTTTTTGTTAAAGCTTGTGTAGCTAATTTTTGATTTCGGGATATGGTTTGATTTAAGGTTGAGGAAATGTGGGAGTGCTGACACCCTCCCCCTGTAAAGTTGCCTACGCCGCGTGGCGCACGTGTCTCGCCCCAAGACTTTATTTTGGTGGTGACCACCGCCGGGCGATAGATGGCGTCGTGTTCGCTTTGAGTACCACTGTTGGTAGAGTGGTAGCGCCGGCGGTGGCCCCTGGCGGAAGGCAGGCCTTGGTGATGGGCGAGAGTTGAGCGAGCCTCTTCTGTGCGTGGTGGCTGCCGCGAACGGTTGTCTGTAGCGTGGGTCCCCGGTGCTCGGCACCGCGGGCTTTGCGCCGGGGTCCCACGTGGAAAGTCAGGCATTGGCGACGCCGCCTTGGGTATGTGTTAGTGTGTTGGGTGTGTTAGTGTGTGTTTATCATGTTATTGTGTGTTTAGTGTGTCACTGCGTTATGTTGTTTGTATGGTAGCGTGTTAATTAAAATTGATGTATCATTCGGCGGACGATGTTGTCGTCTAAATTAGTTAATAAATGTATGTATGTTGTGTGCTTTGTACCAACCGCGTCTACTGTGTCCGTTCACTCCAAGAGCGTGGCGTGGCGCTCGTTCCCCTCGCCGAGACCCCACAGGGTGCACATTAAAAAAACCCCAGGCGGTCAAAATTTCTGTAGTCCTCCACTACGACGTCTCTCATAATCATATGGTAGTTTTGGGGCGTTAAACCCCACATATCTATTGGTTTGATCTGCAGACTTATAAATTTGCTTTTGTTACTAATATAAGCAAAAGCCTTCCTAACTGTAGATGGTGTGTCAATTCTAAAACCAGTATAATGGCAAAGCTAATCCCTATATATAATATGACATAGAATTCACGGAAAAAATGTTAACACTGCACATCTCCTTATAACATGCACAATACACGGTCTGTGCCTATACATTACCTGAATGCTATTTCCATTGACTTCAACTGTCATGGTCAGATACATTGTGCATTATATTTTCTCAGTTTATTGTTGTGTGGTGCAGCTGCTATAGTCACATGCTATGGTGAGTAGCACTGAAAGCAGTACATTACTCGAATCTAACGCGCACCTTTTTTCCGGTTAAGCGAGTTCATAAATCGCATGCGCGTTAGAATCGAGTACGAACAAAAAAATTACGGTCAATCTATTGCCATCGCAAATCCAAAATGGCCGCCCCCTACGTGCGTTGGCATGGTGTGTCGGCTATTTCTGCCTATGTGTTTACCATGTGCGGCACTTCGTACGTGTGCTGAGAAGTTCGTCATCTAGTAGTGCATTAGCATCGACGACTTGGAAGGGCCGACTCCAAAAACTCGAGTGCACCACGATGCCGCTTTTAAAAGAAAAGTCATCGCGTGTGCAGAAACGGACGGAAATCGGGCCGCATCGTGGTCCTTCTCGAAACGTACGTGCGGGACCGGCGGAAACAAAAGCAGAAGATTGTCGACAGCAAAGCTTCACGCAAAGGCTTCAGTGAACCACAGCAGGGTCGGTTTCCGCAAATTGAAGAGCTGCTCCGCGAGTATGTGCTTGAGGAGCGAGTGGCACAGCGGCCCATGACGACAGAACTGCTCCAAGTGCGGGCTATGCAATTAGTCTTAGAAAAAAGTCTAATGCGGAGCCTGTTTAAAGCGAGCAGTTGCTGGCTAATTAACTATATGAAGAGGAAAGGCTCTTCCCTCCGAAGGGGAACATGCATATGCGAAAACTTTTGCGGAGAAGTACGATGAAAAGCTTTGCAGTTTTCAGAGGTTCGTCCTAAACTTGCGGCGCAACAACGGCTACCTGCTTGGGCAAATCTGGAATGCCGATCAGACGCCTCTTTACTTCGACATGCCTGGCACCACAACTGTCGAGAAGAAGGGGGCGAAGCAAGTTCGCGGGCTGACATCGGTCCACGGTAAAACTACAGTGACGGCAATGCTCTGTTACACGTCAGATGGGCACAAGCTTCGCCCGTACCTCATATTTAAATGGAAGACAATCCCGAAAGGAATCGTTTTTACGAGTGGTGTGATCGTGCGGGCCAGCAAAAAAAAAAAAAATGGGTGCGCGTTGCAATCGATGTCTT